GGGTGAGTGTTTGGCTTGCTAGCCATATAAGAGGCTTGAGCAGTTTCCGCCCAAGTCGGAGATCTCCGGGGAAGACCTCATTTAGGGGGACTCTGCATCCATCTCGTGGAGAACTCTGGGCTATGTGGTAGAGCCTAACAAACTCTGCGCGTGTCTCAGAGCCGACCGGTGGTTTGATCAGCTACCAAGACTCTCTCCCCGTCGCCGCACGATCCCTCGACGTACCCTACCCTGTGCGCTCGTCGAGAGTCACCTTTCGGACTCTCATTTCGGTCGTTCCACGGAGCCTAGCAAACTCCGTGAGTGTGTATCCAGAGCTCTGTTCGTGTTTGTTTTGTGGAGCCTAGCAAACTCCACGCGTGTCTTTTTGTAACTGCAACTCAAGAAAGTTTTTCCTGCCTGCACCGCGACCACCTACGGTGTAAGTAAAACAATCTTTAATCAACCTCTACACGTCAGTGCCTAATTCTAGTTCGCCGTGCCGACCTTTTCCCCGGCCCACGTGCCCGGGCTGCTAGCCACAGCCCCTTGGCCCTGACAGACGGCACACCAGACTTCTAGGATAAGAGGGTTGGCGAGGGACCTCCTTTCAGGGTGTTGGAAGATGGACTCATTGGTGGTATCTACCCCAGTTGACTCACAGTTCAGGAGTGCTTTACAGTGCTCTTTTCATTTAGCTCGGATACCTCCTTGACTGTTATTCTTAGAGCTCTTGTTGGAATGGATGTCTGTATCTTGTTAGCTTTGCAAGGAAGACTGCTGGAGATCACCATCTTGTCAGATCCATTGTGAAAATCTGGCTTGCTTTGGAACACCCCAAACAGCCAAAAGCAACACGAAGAACTGTCAGCACCAAATTTCTTCAAGACCCAAAGGTCTGTAAGAATCTCCAACAGTGTGTCCATGAAAAGCTCTCTGCCCTGCTCACAAAACAACAGTGAAGAACTCTGGAAGGTGGTTGAAACTGCCATCCATATGACCTGTGCTGAATCCATTGGCTATACCATCCATTGACATCAAGACTGGTTCAGTGAAAATGATGCCAAGATCCAAGCCTTGCTTGACCAGAAGAGAGAGGCTCATTCTGCTTTTCAAGATGACACCTCATCTCAGCAGGAGGAGACATATCTGCTCCTCAGAGCCAAAGCTCAAAGGAGGATCTGGGAAATCAAAAATCAGTGGTGGCATGATAAAGCCAAAGAGATATGTGTTGACAAACATGTTATGCATAGCTTTTTTTCAGGCAACCAAAGCCATCTACAACACAACTTCCCACTGTCTGACTTTGCTGTGATCATAGGATGGCTTGATGCTCCTCAAAGACAAAAGGAGACGGCATACTGGAGATCAATAGTGCTAATAGTTACTGTATAGTTTGTTATGTGAAGCATCAACATGGCTCATTCTGTCCAGCTCTAATAGAAGAGTCAGCTGTTACAACCTCAATATTTGTTGGTGGAAGTAAATATTTGCAGGTCAGCAGTCATAATATCCTGTTAGGCAATTTTGATTGATAAATTTTGTCTTTCACGGACCCAAATGGATAGGCTTTCAGCAGGATTGTAAAGTGCTTTTTTGGTTTTTTGGGTTTTTTTCAGTTGAATTCCCCCTACAGGACTTTACATCATTACAGTTGCATAATTTCATTATGAAAGGGAGAAGAGGGAGAACAGGGGAGAACGCAAGTAATCAAGCAGTCATGTAACTGTGTAACCTACGGGTTCTATGTGGAAACCTGTGCAAAGATACAGTGATTTATATGTGAATAATTTCCACGTTTTGAACATAAGTATGTTTAACCAGGTCTCCCAGTTTGATCTAATACCAGCTTTGAAGAGTAAGTCTAGAACATTATAATTCAGCTTTGCTTTAACAAGATAATCAAATATTAAAATTACTGTAATACAAGTCAATGAATACCAACTACCTTTTTGTGAGTGCATAGGAAAATGCAGTGTATAAATTTAAGTTGGGGGGGCGGGCAGCTGTAGGTTTTAAATAATGTTTGCTATTGTAAATTACATGGATCTCTGCTTTGATGACTGACTTTCTTCCTTGATGACTTTTTCTAGGAAATTCTTAAGAATGAAAAGTATAGAGGAGAAATGCAACTGAAAATCAAAGATGTTTCTGAAAAGGACAAACTCCTTCAGGCCAAGGAGTACAAGGAGGGGCTTGTTGCTGAACCTGTTAGTACTCAAATAAAAGGTCATGCTTCAGCCCATTACTATGGAAAAAACCAGCCTTCGCAAGACCCAACCAGCATTGCAAATACCTTTCAGCCAGGTTCCTGGATGCCACCAGATGGCAGCAGCCATAATAAATAAATAGTTGTAGCATGCAGAATTTTGTTAATTAAATTAGCAGGTAGGTAATTTCAACAAAGAACATGACTGAAGAAGATCTGATTTTGCTTACAACTATTCTGCTTTGTTTGCTATATTATGTGTAATAAAGCTCTGTATTTAAAATGAACTTTTATTGATTTTTTTTTCTGAGGCAGGTCTTAAAGTGCAAACTATTGTAGCTAGTAAAAATTTTAGATTAAAAAAATCAACTACTAAATTTCAGGTTTTCTTAAATATAGATGCTCTTTTAAAAAAAATGAAAAACAACTTTTCATGCAATAGGCATTTCCTTTGGTGATAGATACTTTTTAAAACATTCTAAATAGGATATAATCCTCAACACAGTGAGTTTTAGGGTTTTTTAAAGAGTAATAGCATAGGAATAGCCTTTTAAATCATCCTGTTGATTTTTAAGTTACCTCTTCCTATAGAAGCCCAAGTAAGTCTTTTGATAAAGTTTCTTTTTAATGGGTGCAGTGTTGGTTGTCTGTCTTTGGGGATTGCAGTCTGTTTTGACCTGATTAACAATAAACACATAGGGACATCATTCTTTGTTAGTTCTTGGGTGTGCTTTTAATGCATTAACGTTTGGCTAAATCAGTACATTTAAATAATATCCTCTGCTGACTGTGTAACAACAGCAAAAAACAGGACATGGTATCTCATTTGCAACAATGCACATGTATGTGGTTCAAGGTGTGAAAATTGAGGCTGCCAAGTCCAAAAAAACTGCAAATTTGTTGCAGAAACCCTACAAGCAATTTAAACCCTCCTCAACAGTGGCAAATACACCTTCTGCAAAACAAGGGCAACTTTCTTGTCCTTTGAAATGTGATCATCATTATCTGCATTCTGGACAGATAAAAGTGCCTTGCTAATATGAGTCCAAAAGAGAGGAAGGAGATGCTGGGGGAGTGCACCTGTGCCACCTACATAGATCCCGAGAACCCACACTGCAATTGCTCAAGAACATCTTGTTCTTGGAATGGCAGCACGTGAACAACAGAAGCTCTGATCACAACTTCTCCACAGCAGATGGAAAACAGCACCTTATGGGAGCCAAGCTGTTTCCATCCTTAAACTTGACATTAAGCATGATCTACCTAGCCTTTAACTGCTGAAAGGTGTTGAAGCAATGCCTGGGTCCATGATTTAAAGGTTTCATAGACTGTTAAGGGCTGGAAGGTCCAGACCCACTGCTCTAGGCGGGAAGACAGCGGGTCAAGTGACCCCAACAAGGTGACTGTCCAGTCTCCTTTTGAAACCCTCCAGGGTAGGTGACTGCACCACCTCTGGAGGGAGTTTATTCCACAGTCTGGTCACCCTGACTGTGAAGGAGTTTTTCCTGGTATTAAGCCTGAAGCAGCCTTCCAGGAGTTTATATCCATTGGTCTTGGTCTTCCCCAGGGCTGCCCTAGTGAACAGTTGCTCACCGAGTTCCTGATGCACTCCTCTGATATAGCGGTAAGGTTCCTTTATGACAAGGGTGGCCAGCCTGTAGCACGGGTAGCTTTTGTGTGTGACCAGTGTCAGATTGGGGAGGGGACAAGATGCAGAAAGTAGAGTAGTAGATTAGGCAAAGGAAAGGGATCAGAGTGGCACTTGGGAAGTGGAAGGAGCTTAAATTGTGGCATGCCTGCCAAAAAAGTTAGCCCCAGCTGTTTTATGAGATGCAGGTGCCCCATGCAAGGTTTCATCAACTGTGGCTGCAGGTGGTATGGCAGGACTGGTGAGTACTGGAGAGATTAACCTCTCTGTGCCTTGAGCAGTTCTGGCAAACATTCCTTTACTCATTAGGAAAACCAGGATCAAGTTAAAGATTCTTGCATCATCCACTTTTCTGGACCATTCTGTGTAACATGCCTGACAGAGGAAGGGGAAATACTCTTCATATTTAAAAACTCCAAGAAGAGAAAGGAAATAACATTTTCCTTTTATTATTCCATTCCAGTTGGGGAACCCCATGCATTCAGAGATGTTAATAGCTATCTGAGGGTTAATAAGCCTTATAGCATATGGGAACAGTACTTTTATGGCAGTAGTAGCTGGAGCAACATAACCAAATGGACTGGTACCAGTCCTGTGTGGCCAGTGTCCGCACTTGCTTCTCCACAGTAAAAGGGAGCTTGGTGTTCTGTGGCTCTAGGGCTAGCTCCATACAGATTTCTATGAAAGTGGGCTTCCCGATCCTGAAGTTGTCCTGCTACTGTTGGTGTAGGGGTTATATGTTAAAGAAATGTAATATGTACTAGGTGATGGTGTGTTATATTCCTATGCACAAGAACAGATTAAACCTCCAGGAATCTATGGTTTAAAAAGAGAGAGAGAAGATCAAAGTGCTAATGTTGTCAGGGCAGAAGGTGCTACGCCTTAGACAAAGGAAAGAAGTTACTATAGATAGTTTAATTCAAGAGGAAAGGTTGTTGAATTCAAAGTAGACAAAGGTTGGCTTGTCAGCTGCTTGGCTCCAGTATGTTTAGGAAAATACAACATGAATGGATTGAGGGTAAATAAGGAACATTTGGGGAACAAGAAGACAGGTACATATGGAAGCTTTGGGCTACATATGATAAGGTGATGTGATGAGAAGTCTAGGGGAATACAACTGAGCACAGGAGGCGAGTTCTTTTCTACTGTAAGCTGAATTTGCTAGAGCCAGCCAGCATGGGGCAGCTACAATGTCTTCCTCACTAGTCCAGATGCAAGTAGTTTGGTCAAATGCTCTGAAATGTAATTATGAGGTGGGTATGGCTACTTATAAATGCTGTAACATGACCATCTACTATATAGCTGCTATTTTAATAGCATTTTTAGACTAGTTAAAGTAACTTCTATAACTATTACTGACCCTTTGGATTAAATACAGGAACTTAGCTGAACTGCTGACATGATGAATCAGATTCCAATAGTTGGTCATCCCATGTCTACAGCATAGACATGTCTACATCATAGTCCACTCCCACTAATCCTATTTCCTGCACTCTAAACTGTCAGCCAGCAAACTAAAAATGGTTCCATAACAGCAGCTCCCATCACCAGAATATGCTCATTTTCAAGTGACTTGCCAGCTGACTGCACAGATCCCTTAAATGTTGCATAACAAAACTCTCTGGTGCTGGTCCTACCAATATTATTTGCAACAAAGTGCCTGTTTGGCAGCAGGAAGCCATATGCACCCCAACAATTGCCAACTTGCATGAATAGAAAATATTCAAAAAGCAAAGTTGGTAGGGACCTCAGGAGGTCATCTGGTCAAACTTGCTCCTTAGGGCAAGAATATTTTTCTCTAAAGCATCTTAGTCAACTGTTTAGCTAACCTGCACTTAAACTTCCAGTGACAAAAGATTCTACTTCTCTAGGTAGTCTGTTACAGCATTTAACCATCCCCATAACTGAAATTCTCCCCAAAATCCCAACCCAAGTTTCTCTTGTTGCAATTTTGGCTTGTTACTTCTTGTCTTGCCCTCCTTCATCTACCTACTAGGGGATAGATTGCCATCCTATTTATATAACCCTTTTTACTTTAAGAAAATGAAGATAAAATACACTCATCCTGTTGCCTTTACTTTTGAAAATAGTGTCATCTCCCTTCCAAGCACAAGTTGTCTGGTCCATCTTGAGGGTTATTGATGGCTTGAACCTGGAATTTGAACCTACAGCCGTGGTTCTCAACCTTTTTAGAATCAAGGCAGCCCCCCAGAACTTTGTGAATTGAGCAGCACCCTACTTCAAAAACAGTATAGTTATTACAGTGCTTACCTTCTTGTAAAGGGGCCATGGAGTGGCCAAACAGGGAGACCTTCCCCCTACCCTTACCTGCTTGCCTCCTCACACCTGGAGCCTGAGCCTACCCTTTGCTACTTCTCACACTTCCAGGGGCACCCTTCAGTGGCTCCCCTCATACCCTGGTCCAGAATTACTGATGTAAAGCCTTCTACGCAACTTTCTGCAAAGGTTCCACCATGTGCTGCGGCAGGTATCCAGTACTACATTGGCGGGGAGATAGTCATAAAGGATTGGGGAGCTATTCCTTTGCTTTTGGTGGGCCACGTGGCAGTTCCCACCCCATATGCACTCATGACAATTGAGTACAACCTGTTCATTTTGCATAGCTGTCATGATGCAATTTGTTCCCAATTTATATCTCAAGCTGAACCTGTCACAGCTTGCCGGCTTGTATACCCATAGCCCAAATTGAACTCTGTTCCCATAACAAATAAAAGTTTTGAAGCAACCTATTTTCCAGCAATTATATTAAGCTCCATTACCCTTTGGCAAGCGCACCTTGAAGTTTTTCATCTCTTGATTTCCAACACCATCCACCCTTTGAAAGAATCAGCCTCTTCACTATCATAAAAGTATAGATGTACATTTGCTAAAATTATCAGTGTTGGTCCCTATATTTAAGTTGTTGGTTATTCTCAAACTCTGCACCCTACTGGAACAAACAGGCCCTTTGCTTATTTCGTCAGGGTACCATGTTGGTTTGCTTATTCAAATTACTTTCACATTCTATAGTCACACAAGACTTCATCTACTGACAGTTTCAGATTCTTCTACTGCCTTCTAATAGCTATGACATTGAAAAAAGGGCCATAACTATAATAAATCATTGTGTCCTCTTCTCTCCCTTACCAAATTTAGAAATAGTATTGACTGGAGTCCAACATGGAAATCAGTGACCAACATGGAAGCTTTTTATTTTAGATGGGGGAAGTTAAAGTGTTTATTGCTACCTTCAAAAACAGAATTAGTAATAAGGGGAAAAAAGCATGCTGCAACATCAGAACAAGTTTTATCTAATGCCTACCCTCATGCTGGCAAGGAAAAACATTAGATTCAGAACATCATTCAGTTGCTAAATCATCTTGCCTGACCTTCGACACTCTTCAGCCACCTTTCCCCTACCCCTTCCGTCACTGTATTAAATTCAATCATTAAGGCTATGTTGGGTTTCCTCACTTCCCCTTTTGTAAAGCTTTACTTGTCTGTTTTTTCTCCTTTTTTTGAAAAAAAAAAATAGGTCCTGCACTTAAGTGGCTTTTGGAGCTGGTTTTAGATTCACTACCCTAGTTCCTTTTAAGAGAATCCTTAAACCTCTGCAATCTCTACTGTGATTTGTTTTAAAAAAATTAAAGCAAAAAAAACCCTTTCTTTTCCTTCTGTCTACACACACTACAGAAATTTATCTGTAGGCTCCTTGTACAATGACAAGGGAGTGGAATTTTGGCACCCAAATGCCTTTGGTCACATATCTTCCCTCAGAGGAGCATCTCCAATACAGTCGGGGAGCTGGTATAAAAAAGGGAAGTGGTATCAGCACAACCCTTGGGAATTCAAGTGACTGAGTAAAATACTTGAAAGTAGAGATGGAAGACCTAGTTGCTCATCCCCACATTATGCATTTGGTTTAGGGATCAACTAATTCAGACCATACTGGAGGAGCCCTATTATTAGTATTAGAACATTTAGCTAAGGTATGTCAGTACAGATAAGTAGATGATGTCTTGCTACAGATGTTTCTTAAGTACCTTTACTAGTAAGAATGAAGACCATTACCATCTATCTTAAGAAAAAAAAGTAACAAATTTATTTTTGCAATGTTTCATTTTAAAATGGATCTTCCACATTATGCATGTAGGTATCAAAGTGTAACCCCTTTTGAAGAGACACTGGAGAAAATTTAATCCAGTGTCATGAGAGAAGCATGCATTACATTAACATTTGTCCTGAACAACAAAATTGGGGACTGGTTGCATTTGGATGTTTCACACCCAACTCAAATAATTAACTCAAGCCTTCTCTTCTGATTCCTGGTATTAATCGCTCACTCACTTTATCTGTTCAGCAATATAGATATAGCACCCGCTTTCATTGCTCTTACCCTTTATATCAGCAAAGGGACCGATACAAGAACACTGTACGAGGAACACCAACTATCTTCATTCTTGCTATGATGCCTATGCTGATCCTGTTTCAAATTTTTAGTCTCTATCATATGTTTCTTGAAACTCAACAAAATAAAAAGCGAGCTTTGTTGAAGCATGATATTATGCTATAAAGGCATTTGCAATGATATGGTTATTCTTTGGGAAGAAAAATATAACTGAAGTTGAAACTAAGGCCAACAACTGTGGCATGTTTACAGCACTAAGACCACATCTGGCAGTCTTTCTTCATTCAGCCATTCCTTTCAAAGCTGCTCATATCCAAATAGTTATTCTGTTCCTCCACAGATACTATTAGTGTCACCTGAAACAAGAATGATACTTAAGTTTGGTATATAACTAAGTTGTTCATTTTGCAGAGATTTCGCAAAATCTTCTCAACTTAGAATATTGTTAAGATGAAGCGGTCAATTGGCTTACAGCTTAGTACTGAAGAGTTTCTATCTGAAAGGGCTCAGTGATAAAGGATGTGGATAGAGTGCCATTTGTGTTAACTGAGGGCATGTCTACACAGGGAAGCTGCTGCCAAACAAACCTGAAGAGACTTTACAGCTGCTGCACACTAACACCTTATGTGCACACTTAGCACACAGTTAAGTGTGAGGTAACTTTTAAAGTAAGCAAGCTATGTTACACATGCTGCATGCTAAATGTCCACTGGGAGTCAGTGTGGAGTAGCTAACATGCTGAAAAGTCACCCCCTACTTTATTTCACAGTAACTTCCCCTTGTGGACAAGACTTTAGTTGAGTTAATGTGAATTAGAAATACTGTTCCCACCCAGCAAGCACAAAACAGACAACTGTTAAAGGACCAACTGCTACTCCCACAGTTCTACTACAGACATAAACCAATAGTAGAAAAAGTAATATACAACAACTGCAGTGTTTAAACATAATTAGTAGTCAGAGGTTTTGCTTCCTCCCATAATTTATATTTTGCTGCATTTAAACAAATGTTGACATTTGTATTTAAATTTAAAAAAAAGAAAGAAAATCAAGGTCCCCCACAAATATTTAGTTTACAAAAGCACATGGCATATGAGTTTACAAAAGCAAGCTTGATCAGAATATGAATATCTAAATTAAGTATGTATTTAGCAAAAACTATTGCAGTTTAGACAAACTTGAGCACAAATTGATCAGCAG